ATGTTCTTCCAGCAACATTAACAGAACGCTCATTCGAAGTTATCTAGCCTGTAATTGTGGACTTAAAATGTTATCTACACATTGTTTATGCCACCTTTTTTTACTAAAACCTTTTATTTGGACGTTCATCTAAAGTTTTCTTTTTTAAATGTTACACTTGTTTCAGAGAACATTCAAAAGTAACGTTCCCATAATGTTTGGAAAATGATACAAATGGAATGCTCGCTTAATGTTTGTATAACAGAAAAAAAAAACTGGACATTTTGAACATTCAGTAAACATCCAGAAATAGCATTTTCATAACATAATAGGAACGTCAGCAAAATGTTCTTAGAACATGTTTTTGTTTAACTGGTATTACGGACTCATATTTTAGTTAAAACGTCTTGATGGATTTGTTTCTTCTCCAGATGTGAACTGATGGACTGGAGTGCTGTGGATTATTGTGATGTTTTTATCAGCTGTTTGGACTCTCATTCTGACGGCACCCATTCACTTACAGTGAGACACTGATGCAATGCTACATTTCTCCAAACCTGATGAAGAAACAAACTCATCCTGATCTCGGATGAACTGAGAGTGAGCACATTTTCATGTTTAATTGAACTATTCCTTTAAGGGCTTATTTGCAGTCAAAGGATTCTGGTAGCACCAGTGTCTCTGTATATCCACAGTCCATGACGAGAGCAGACTGGATGCCCAGAGTCATGACAGACATCAGATGACCCGGAGCAAACAGGACCGATGGGACCTGCAACAGAAGACATGAAGAAACGTCTTGAGTAATACTGACTATACTGCAGATCTGCTTTACATGAGAGAATTTAGGTACTAGCTAGAAATGTGGCTCATAGTAGATCTTATTTTGGGTTGGTGTCCAAATGAATGAAAGCATTTCTGAATATCTGTCAATCTGGCTTTCCAAGACTCTATTATTTTCCCATTCGTGTTCTTTATTTTGCTGTGTATAAGAATTATCATATAATAAAGAATGTGATCTTTTGATTTGACACAATAGAGGAACCATTAAGATATGAGGACGTTTTATTTCAGACACAGACGCAGCGTGACTTCACCTCAAAGTGCTTGAAGAAGACTCTGGAGAGCGTCTCTCTGAAGTGTGAAGGACAGAGGACGGATTCAACGATCACCACGCGCCGGTCTCGAGGATTCACCAGCAGATGCCTGAAGGAGGAACAGCATCATGAGTTCAGCTGCGATGAGCAAACACAAACCGCTCTGAAACGGAGCACAGAAGCGTCTCTGCTACCGGAAGTACAGCAGGTGAACGAACTCCTTCAGGATGCTGTAGAGCTCCTCAGTGTTGATGTTGTACTGGACGACTCGAACCGCCTGTGAGAGCGAGAGACACTCATTCAATAGAGCTTCAGCTTAATGTTTTAACTATATATGTGAGCCTGGAGCACAAAAGCAGTCTTAAGTCGCTGGGGTATATTTGTAGTCAAAAGTATCGATTTTTCTTTGATGCCAAAAATCATTAAAGATATTTTGTAAATGTCCTACCGTAAATATATCACAACTTAATGTGTGATTAGTAATATGCATTGCTAAGAACTTCATTTGAACAACTTTAAAGATGATTTTCTCAATATTTAGATTTTTTTGCACCCTCAGATTCCAGATTTTCAAATATTGTCTGATCCTAACAAACCATACATCAATGGAGAGCTTATTTATTCAGCTTTCAGATGATGCATAACTCTCAATTTCACAAAATTGACCCTTAAGACTGGTTTTGTGCTCCAAATATCCAATATTAAAATAAAGATGCAGGAAATGTCAGTTTAATATGATCATGGTAATTCATTATTACGATTAGAAATAGAGATAATTCTCAGACCGACCTCCGGAGATCCGGCGCGTTTAACTTCACTGGGAATGATGAATCTCGGCCCCGTCTCGCCGGCAAAACCACATCTACACATTACACACACAACACAACAAACCAGAGCATCACACATCAACACGAGCGGCACAGCTTACCGACACACAACATGCCTAAAGGAAAAATACTTGTGGCTCACAATATGATATTTTATAAAAACAAAAAATATTAATAAAAATGTACATTCATCGCATGACATTTCAGGTCATATATTCGAGCACTTAATACTGTAATATAACAATAATACTTTTATTTTTTATTTATTAGTAAAACAATCCGTTTTAGGACCATTTCTAAATATATTTTTATATTTACAATTTTTTTTATAATATTTTTACTCAGCATACATCAGCATAAAGCATTTTTAGGACCATTAATATTTTATATGTATATATACACTAGTAAACATTTGAAGTGGATCAAAACCTAAAAGCAAAATGAGATGCTTTCTTAGGACAACTTTGATGTGTGTGTGTGTGTGAGTGTGTGAGTGAGAGAGAGAGAGAGAGAGAGAGAGAGGGGGTGTGTGTGTGTGTGTGAGAGAGAGAGAGAGAGAGAGGGGGTGTTGAGAGAGAGAGTGTGTGTGTGTCAGAGTGAGAGAGAGTGTGTGTGTGTGTGTTTTTCATTGTGAGCGAGAGAGAGTGTGTGTGTGTGTGTGTGTGCGAGAGAGTTAGTGTGTGTGTGTGTTAGTGTGTGTGTGTGTGTGAGAGAGTTAGTGTGTGTGTGTGTGCTATATATATTTTTTTAAGTTTTGTCATTAAACAAGTAATTTAGAATGTTTAAAAAAAACAATAATCATAATTAATAATAATAATAATAATTTTGAGTATAAAAAAAAAAAATTAAGAGTTTTGTCTTTAAAACAAGCCCTTTAGAATGTTTAAAAAAAATTTTTTAATAATAATGAATAACAACAATAATTATTATTATTATTCCTACCACTACTACTACTAATAGGCATTATTATTATTAATCATAATACTAATTACAGTAATAATCTGTATTCTAATCATGTGTGCAGTATTTCCGCGAGAGGAGCTCGAGCGCAGCTGCATCTGACGCAGACACAATCAGCGCGAGCGCCTGGACGCCGCTGAACGCCGGGAGCACCGCCAGAGCGCTGGACACGAGACGGACGACGCGTTCACACACTGCAGGTGAGCACGAGACTCGTGTTTGATCACTTCATCACGAAGCGGAGCAGTCAGTGTCTGCATGCATGCAGTAACGCATGTGTCTCGCGTGCGCTGTGAGGAATTACGCAGCATGTCCTGACACTGATGACAGTCCAGAAATCAGAACTCATGCGTGTATTCTAGAAACACGCCTGCAGTCATGCTTGTTTTATAGGATGCATGCAGAGCAATATATATGAAGCAACATAACTGCATGATAGAGTAGGGCGCATTGTCTCTGTGCTATTTTTAGACGCTGGCAGTGCATTGCTGTAGTGTGTGTGTCAAGTTACTGCTGCAGAGCTGCACGAGTCGTGTAGACTATTACAGAATGGATGGAGAAACCACATAACATACAGTTCTAGAGGTGTGTTGTATAGCCAATACTGTTCATTTTAAGTGTGCTATAATATAATCATATAATTTTATTTCTGTTCCTATGTAAATTCTATTCTTTATATAAAAGCAGCATCTTTATTTATTTTCATGGCGATAAGTTATACATGTCAAGCGACTCTTAAAGAAATAGCTCACGCCAAAATGAATTAGGATGAGTTTGTTTCTTCGTCAGGTAGCACTGCATCAGTGTCTCACTGCAAGTGAATGGGTGCCGTCAGAATGAGAGCTGATAAAAACATCACAAGTAATCCACAGCACTCCAGTCCATCAGTTAACATCTGGAGAAGACAAAAGCTGAAACAAATCCAGCACTAAGACGTTTTTAACTCAAATATGAGTCCATAATCCATAATAACGCTTCCTCTAGTTGTTTGGACTCTCATTCTGACGGCACCCATTCACTTGCACTGATGCAATGCTGCATTTCTACAAACCTGATGAAGAAACAAACGCATGATGGCCCTAAGGGTGGCACTACGGATACCCAGCGACTACTAAATTGTCCCTATAGCAATAATTTTGATCAAATGATTAAATATATGTGTATGTAAGCACCGCATCTGAAATAGGTCGCACCATTGGTATTACATGAGAGGTTACAGAAATAAGTGACGTGACATGTGACATGTGGCCAAGTATGGTGACCCATACTCGGAATTAGTGCTCTGCATTTACCCATCCAAAGTGCACACACACAGCAGTGAACACACACACACACACACACACACACGGAGCAGTGGGCAGCCATTTATGCTGCGGCGTCCGGGGAGCAGTTGGGGGTTCGGTGTCTTGCTCAAGGGCACCTCAGTCGTGGTATTGAAGGAGGAAGAGAGCGCTGCACATTCACTCCCCCCACCTACAATCCCTGCCGGTACGAGACTCAAACCCGCAACCTTTGTGTTACGAGTCCGACTCTCTAACCATTAGACCACGACTTCCCCCTAATATGCTAGAAAACTGCACACATGGATGGATGCGCTTTATTGCACTTCTTTTAGACGGTTGAACAGAAACACCCATCCACTGCCATTCTAAAGCTGGGAAGAGCCAGGACGTGCCCTTCCACTCCCCCCACCTACAATCCCTGCCGGTACGAGACTCAAACCCGCAACCTTTGTGTTACGAGTCCGACTCTCTAACCATTAGACCACGACTTCCCCCTAATATGCTAGAAAACTGCACACATGGATGGATGCGCTTTATTGCACTTCTTTTAGACGGTTGAACAGAAACACCCATCCACTGCCATTCTAAAGCTGGGAAGAGCCAGGACGTTTTTTAATAATGTCTGAAAGAAGAAAGCAATATACACCTAGGATGCCTTGAGCGTGAGTAAAACATGGGGTAATTTTGGGGTGAACTAACCCTTTAGGAGCAGGTTTCGATCCATGCTCCGAAGTCACGATCTGAAATGATGAATCATTATCCTGATCGTGTATCGTGAATCGTTTGATTCAGATCGGGACTTCGAAACGGGTTCGCAAATCTTTTTTTTTCTTCAGTAAACAGTACAAATCCATTAAGGCAGTACAGTTATAAAAACTAAACAAAACAAAAAGAAAGAAAGTATTCACAAATACAAATGCAAATTAGCCATGGTTTTATTATAGTAAAAGTGTAGTAACAATGTTTTTTTTTTTGTATAACCACAGTTTTACTACAAATACCATGGTTAAACTATAGTAACCATGTTTTTTTCTTGTCTTTTCTTTCTTTCTTTCTTTTTTTGAGTAATACCATGGTTAATTTTCACAAGGGATGTGGTGCCAGGTTATCCCCCAAAAAAAGTAATAAAATATAGAGATGCAGTTTTCACTGCTTTAGGATTGACAGAAGTTTAGATAGCTTCCATACACTCGTCTAGATCAACTCTGAATAAAGAAAACAGATTTTTGTTTCTGTATGTGACATTTAGCTAGCAGGAAACACATATGAATTAAGTTATATTTTCCTATATTCTCTTTTGAGTAACGGAGTCAAACTGAGTCAAACTTCTCAAAAGGAGATCAGATGATCATAATATCTCTGTGTGGTTCACTGACAAACAAGTGAATGAATCTTCCTCAGAAGAGACAAAAACAGCAGCTCACTTCAGTGTCTGACTTATATTAGAATTAGGGCTGGGTTTTGACACAAATTTCACGATTCGATTCTCATTCACAAGCTTGCGATTCGATTCAATATTGATTATTTTTGATATATATCAGGTACAGTACTTGCCCAATTTTCTCAAGGAAAAAAAAATCTCAACTAATGCTGTAAAATATACATGAGTCAGTTGCTACTGCATTACTATAATACTGAAGGCTAACATTAATGAAGTTTTTACAATAATAAAGTTACAGTTACTTATTAATATTTCTAACGTACTTCACTTGATTTTTTTTTTTTTTTTTTTTAAA